TGCTTGAAGCGTTTCTTTCTTTTTTCTAATATGGGGGGATTAAAGAGGGGAATAGTGAGGAAGTGTTGAAAAACAGAGATAAGTAGGCCTCCTTGGTGGTGTAGAGGTTAAAGACAGTGCTACCAAGCTATTGCCAGCCACTGAAACACAAGTTCGATCCCTGCCAGGGAGCTGACCCACATGGAGCAGCAGACCTCTCCTGTCTCACCCGCTGCTCCCCTCAGCAGTTTGTTTCTGTACATCCTCCTGCTCTGCTGCCCACTCTGTCTCTGGTGAGTCCTCTCACCCCCCACTGCTGGCCTGTACCCCAGGTCTTATATGCATGTAGGGTCAGGAAGGACACGGTGCAGGTTTTCTGGTCCAGCAGACCGGGTAAAGAGGAGTCAGAGCCCTCAGTGGCTTTTGCAGGTCTTTTATTGGGATTACCAGGTACACGGCAGGCAGGGGTGCTGGGGGGCCTGGAGGCTGGCAGGCCTCCCAGCCCCCAGCAAATCCTCACTCTATCTGGGCTCTCCGGCCTTCTCTCTGCTTCTTGCTCCTCTGTTCGTTCTGCTGCTTCTCGGCTTCTCTTTTAGCTTCTGCTGGCGTCCCCGTGATGCTGCCCTTAAAAGCCCAGTCGAATATGCCCACACCCTACTCCAGGTGCCCACCATCAGACATGCTTTCAGTACCCCAGGGTTCCGTCATCTATCTTAATGGTGGGAGGGCAGGAAAGCCTCATACCTTTCACCTTACCCTACAATGCATAAATAAATAAATCTTAAAAAAAAAAAAAAAAAAAAAAAAAAACAGAGATAATGAAAACACACAAGATGGGAGTGAGCTAAAAACCACAAAGTCTCAGCATTTGCAGTATTCTTGCTGGAATCTGGTGGCGGAATGAGGGGGCAGGGGAACCCACTCGCTGTAGTATTTGGGACTCTGAAGAACAATGCAAAGTGATTGGGCTTGAAAGGCCCCTTGAAGGACATGCAGAGTTTATTCTATGTCACTCAGCATCACTACCTGTAATTATGAAAATGAGCAGATAGTCCAATTCACACTCTGCCTAAATAAAATGCAATTTCTGTTTCCATTTGATAACCTGAAACCTTTCACTGTGTATCAGAGAACAGAGCAGATCCCAATCCTAATTAGAAGACTCTTTTATTTATTTATACCTACTTCGACCCAAAAGGATTTAAGGTGATTAATTAAAAAAAAAAATCCAGCTCTTTCAGACTTTCTCTCTGATAAGGATTTAATGCTAGAGCAATTAATGCAAGGAAAGAGCTCAGAGCTCTGGCACACCCCAAAAGGAGTCACCAGAAAACTATGTGGACACCACAATGAGGGCTTTTTTGTTCCTGAAGCAGGATACACAAGAAACACCACTCACTTTTTGTAAGGCATAAGGAAAATCTGTGCTCAGCTAAGCAGCAATGAGAAATTTATAGAAGTGTTTTTGTGCATTGAGATCTACTGCCATGATGTGCATGACAATCTTTCTAAGTCACAATTATTAACAAATCAAATGATTATTCTTTTTTTAACCAGAAAAGCTACCTGCCTATGACATATGTAGGGTGGCCAGAGATATCCAGAGAAGCTTGAAAAGTGAGCATTGCAGTCAGAGACTCCAGGTGTTAGACATCACATGGAAACCACATGTTCAAGTAATATCAGAGTGCCTGGGAAGAAATGAAATGTAGCTTTGCAAATTCAAGCCCTAAAACAAAGAGCTGAAGGGTATGCAACCACCATGTCCACATGCCATTCCTCTATAACCTTTTCCCCAGCCTTCCATACCTTCCTTACAGGATTTAGTTTTCTCCATATTACTATTTATGACTGAATATACAATATACTGCTGAACTGCATTTCACTATCTGTCCCTTGCCCCATAAGAATACACACTCCTAGAGGTGAGGGATTTTGCCTAGTTGGGTTCATGGAATATCTCCAAGGCTTGTCTATAATAGTCCCCTGGCTCATGGGTAAGTATTCAATAATAAGCATCTTTTAATTGAAGGAATGAATCAGAATTGGATCATATTTTAATCTACCACTGTCTGCCATTTCAGTCTCCTCTTTAATGTTCCCCAAACTCCAGTTGCACCCAAATGCTTCCTCTTCTCAATTGGCCCGAACTGTTTCATGTGCCTATAAGTACTTTTATACACTTTCTCCAATGATTTGGTATCTTCCCTTCCCAACTTCTGACCACATGTGCACACATGCTCATGCGCACACACACAGAGACATCCTCATTTGCCCCCAGGCCTCGTACTGTCCCCTAGCACTAAACGTCTTTTCTCAAACATTTTTGTCCCAGTGAAGCCTTTCTTCACCACCAGCAGGACTTCCTCTTTCACTTAATATTTCCTCATTGAACTGATATCATCAAGGGTTTTCCAACTGCCTGTGACCATGTTACTTTGCTCATAGACTGTTCAACATTTCTGCTACTGTGCCTTTCCTCTGTCTACTACAGCATCCATCAATCTGCAGTGCAACTGTCTGTTTACATCCATCTCTTCAACTAGTTTCTGAAATCCTGCAGGGCAAGACATTTTCTTATTTATTTCCACTTCCCCAGCACCTAGCACAATGTTTGATGCCTGATAAATGTTTGGATGAATGAAACAACTTAATGACCAAAGGATATGAAATGGACCACTTATACCCTTCGTGTTGACATTCTGCATGGCCCTTCTCATTCCTGGCACCAAAGATTTCTGTGTTGTGCTGTGATGTGATGCTGTTTTTTACTGATGCTCTTTTTTATATTTTTTTTCTTTCTTTCCAGCATCTATAATATAGTGGTTACCACTCACTCCTTCACTATCTGCCTTGTGCCAGGCAATATGGGAGACACTAAATAACAATAAATATCTCACTGAATACTCTACCACCAAGCAAATGTGATCATCCCTATTTTTTAAAGGACCTTTCTTTTCCTCTTCTAGGCTTTCTTCTCTCTGTAAACATCCTACCTTCCTTAGTTTCACCAGGAACATACAGCATCCATCACAACACCACTACCATTGGCGGAAGGTTCTGAATCCTTGATGTTTTATAGGAAGATGCAGATCCCTCTATCAGCTCTGCTCCTCCTATTCTGTTTTTTACCTTGCCTTTGACCATAAATTGTCTGATATGAATCTTGGCAAGGTAACAATTCTAGACTATATTGACTTCCTTGACAAGAGACAAATAGAACATCATGATGAGTAATTTCAGTAAAATCCAAAAGAGTTACAACTTAGGACAGCTGTCACTGAGCCCAGTGCTACCTGGAGATTGATACTAGATCCTTTCCCAGAGAAAGCGCTCACACAGCCTATCCTCCACCTTCAGCCTCTGACTCCCAGCATTTGTGGCATGTGAGTTATTTGGCAGTATCTACAGTGGCCTTGGTATGTCACAACTCACAATGTTATTATGTACACAATCCAAGGGCTTTTGGTAATTAAGAAGTGAGAATGACATCACTAGACTCCCTATTCCCCCACTTCACCTGCAGCACTGTACATAAATTGGATCCCTCATTTGTTTGTATGAGGAGGTTTTAGAGTAGAATCAGGTTTTGAATTCAGACTTGCATTGTTGGAATCTCAACCCCTCTACTTGCTACTGTGACCTTGGGAAAGCTTTTTCATCTTAAATAGGGAAATCTTTTTAATTTTAAGGTAGTATCTTCTACCTTGCCTGCCAAATCAGACAATACCAGATCCATAGACTGGGGAAAATTAGATGAAGCCGCATAAATAAAGAGAATTACATAACAGATGTGAATTGTTTCCTTCTTTTGCTCTATTCTCTATCACTTTAGTTCATGTCATGGAAATCTAGGTTCTTAAACTATAAGGGAATGAGATACCATAAGTGTCATCATCCTACAATTAAAGAAAATGCTCCATGAAAAAACATATCTGAATGTCGGGGCTCAATCTCTCACAGGGGCTGAAAGCTTCCTATTACTGTACAAGGTAACTGATGCTGAATAAAGGAGTAAATGAAGACATGAAAAAGCAAATGAAAACAAAACACACTCCAGTTCTTTCATGCTTCTTTGGCTATGACCCCATTATCCTTAGTAACCCAAATCCATCTGTTCTAACACCAGACTTTCTCTATTGTGTGTTTGTCTCCTCCACATGACTGAGACCACTTTCAGCACAGGGTCCATTTTCTCTAACGCCTGTAAGAATGACCATTTGAGGACTGGGTCAATGAGTATTTGGGTGACAGATGAATGAATGAGAAGTTTGAAGAGTCCCAGAAATTCCTTTTTATATTAAAAAAAAATCTTGCTATTATGGCCTACAATGTGTATTCAGTGTAATTAATATGTTTTTATGGATAAAGTCCTGTCCTAACAGCATGGAGGGGGTCACCCCAGAACACTGTGAACACTCTCTGCACATGACACAGGAGCTAGTAGGTAACAGTGTAGATGCTAAAATATGGTCCTAAGCAGGTCCTGCACAGAGTAGGCACCTGAGCAATGCTAATTGAAAGAAATGAGGGAAAGTGTGGGGTCTCTAATCTAAATTATCTACCTATACTCTCCTGGCTCTTTGGGAATGATAATGAATGGATAAGAGAAAAACACTTTGATGCATGAAATCTTAAAGTGGAGGGATTTCTTCCTCTAAATCTTTCTCTAATTCTATAAGTTTTCTTTCCTTTTTAGTGACAATAATCTCAATCCCACAAGATTAGATGGAAGACATATCAGAAAATCTGCTCTGTCCAATTTATCAACCATCTATGATTGCTCCAAGTACTGAATTAGCCCAGGGCTACTCTGGGAAAGGGACAAGGAAATCTCCCACCCCCGAGGAGCTCACAGCTTCATGGGCTAGACAGAGCTATATGATGTCACAAAAGACACTGTGTTACTATTCTAGAGCTGCCATAACAAATCACCACAAAGCAGACAGTTTGAAACAATAGAAAATCATTCTCTTGCAGTTCTGGAGGACAGCAGTCCAAAATCTAGGTGTCATGTGGACTTCAGTCCCTACAGAAGCTGCAAGGGAAGCCTGTTCCATGATTCTTCTGGTTTCTGGTGGTTGCAGGTGTCCTTGGTTTGTGGGAACATCACTCCAGTATCTGTCTCTGCCTTCACATTGCCTTCTTCTCTAGGTCTGCCTTCACTTCTGTGTGCTTCTTCTAAGACCATTTGTCATTAGATCTTATAGGGCATATCTGAATCATCCAGGATGATACCCTTATCTCAATCATTAACTCAGTTACATCTGCAAAGACCCTTTTTCCAAATAAGGTAATAGAGTTCATAGTTTCTGGGGATTAGGATATTGATATCTTTTTGGGGAGGTCACAATTCAAGCTGCTACAATAACTAACAATACTAAATATGACTTTCCTTCATTGAAAAGCAGAAACTGAGGCCACTTATGTTTAGGTAAATTCCCCAACATCACCAATGTGAAAAATGGCAGAACTGGGACTTATATCTAGGTCTGACTCAAAGGCGTCTGCTCTCTTTTTCTCTCCTATGACTCTGTCATGATATTCTAATATGGCATCATACCAGTTCCTGAAAAATCATGAGATCCAACCCAGATCGATGAGGCAAGAGCCTTGCTGAGTCTAGATGAGTGAGTAGTAAAAATGTTATCTATAAAAATTTGATGATGCATACATAGATAAAAATAAGATATGACATAGGAAGCCTGCCATCATGAAAGTGAAGTGCTTTGGTTGATATTCCATGAGACTGACTCATTTCAAAAGAAGGAAGCCCATTATCATTTGGAGGCAAGAAAGGCAGAAGCTAAAAGATTTCATGCATGGATATCAGTTGAGAAGAAATTAAGAGAAGGAATAGGATCTAACTATACCAAGAAGTTATCATAGGCACTCAGAATATTAAAACTAAAGCATGAGAGGGAGCAGCCATGGGAACTTCTGGGAATCTTGAGAAATACAATTTGGTTACAGTGCAGGGTGCTCAAAGGGGATTGATGAGCAAGTAAAAGGGTTGGGGGGCTGAATAGGGACATTTGATGAAACATCTTAATGCTAGCCATGAGAATTTAGACTTGGCTCTAAACAGTGGGAGCCACTGAGGAATTTTCAAGATACACAGTGAGAGAAAAGCAGAAGTCAAGGGAAATGAGATTTGCCTCTGGTTCTCCCAACTTCTTTCTATACTTTTATTATATAAAATCCTCACTAAACCTTCTTTAGCTTTTATTTTGGGAAAGGATGTGGTTAGAGAAAGATTGGCTCTGAAGTACATTTCAATTCTAAGAATTTAAATGGTACAATCAGCCATTTGCTCCCTAGTTGGAAAATAATTCAGTTATTTTCGATCCCAAGACAGAAACCTGAACATCAGCTTCTTTAAGTTCTGGAACGGGTGGTCTGTTTGAACTGACCATCTATCAACAAGCAGACATTTTATACCTAGACAGGGTGGAGTTCTAACGGGGTTGGGATGTGTAATGAAATTGGATGTAGCTTTGGATTACAATTTATTCAGAATTAAGGGGACTTAGTCTTTAAACTCACTGAAAAGAATCTGGAACAGCATGAAACAAGGTGAACAGGTGATCAGGAGATAATTTACCCCTGTAGAGGGACAAGTCCTATTTCCTCCCCACTACTCTCTTTCCAATATCGGATGAGACGACACAGCAGAGAAAAGGTGACTGCGACCTCGGGTAGCTCCAGTGACTGTGCACCAGCAGACATGAGGTCAAAGTCAGAGAAGAAATGAAAAATAAGAATCTAAACAAAGACCTTTTCCAGAAACCACTTTTCATTGTCCCCTGAGTCAACTCCTATGCCTCTTGCACCACCTTTACCTACTTAGCTGTTATGGGAAGAGAAAACTGACCTTCTGCTGCTTTAACATAAATTAACATCTGGTGATAGAAAGCAGGGAACAGCCTCAAATGAACTTTTAGAGGTTTTATGATAAAGAAAACATTAATTATGGCATAACATCTATAGAGCATGAGATAAAGCACTTTCATATGCATAATTCCATTTTATCTTTACAGAATTAATGAAACAATGCATAAAACATGCTTAGACTTGTGCCTGGAACATAGCAGGTGTTCAATAAATATCATTCGTCTTCTCATTTTCCACTGAACTATTTCTGCTACCACCTTTTCAGCCTGCCTCAAGGCTGTCACTTCCCATTTCTCTCCACAGTGAAAACTAGGGCAATATTGTTCTCTTCCCTTCCACTAACAAACAGAATCCTACCAAATCCCTTTAAAATGAACCTGCAGAAGTGCAGAGTGACAGATTTTGTAAATCACTTTAATGGGAAAAAATTATTTCTTTGCTCAACATAAACACAGCCTGGGTCTGTTAAACTAAAACAGTCAAACGCCAGCAGTCTATTTCAACGGCCTGACAACCAAATCGCATCAAGACACATTCAGTCCAGATAACTGTCACATGATAAGTTATGCAGATGATCAGAAATATTAGTGCAGGCACACTATCATGACTTCGTCTGTGTCATACAGGTGGGAAGCTTTTAGACTAAGCTTTTAGACTAAGTCATGGGAAACTAGTGATAAACATAATAATTCATCTGCCACTGGAGTACTGCCAGATGTGAGATATTCCTCTTCCTTGTATCTCAGTGAATCCTTCCTCAAAAAAAAGTCAATGCGCAGTAACTTACATATGTAACTCTTCTGTTGGAAAATTGTTCAGGAATTACTGCTGCTTCTTTTCCATTGTTGCCAGCAATGGTAAAAAGATCTAGACCCTTTCCTTGTCCATCAACATAGTGTTCATTCTTCAATGTCACTTCCAAATCCCCTGCAGTCAGAATTAACCATTTGTCCTTCTAGGTTCCCACAGCTGGGTGCAGGATGACTGATTATCCCTTTACTCCATTTGTGATGTAGAATAGTGACTGTTTATTTGCCAGACTTCTCTATAAGAATGAAGGCAAAATAACATCTTCTTTATCTTTGTAGTTTCCCCAGGGCCTAGTATGGTGTCTGGCACTTATTAGGTATTCATCAAATGTTCATAGAATTTAAATGAAAGTCAAGTAAAAAGTATGGTGCAATCACTTCTTGAAATGATCTGTAGACCCATGTAGTCAGAGCCTTCCTAATTCACAAACATGGAAACTCCACAAAGACACCATGTTTCTTGCCTGACAGTGTCTGTTCAATAGGCCCTATGGTAAAGGAATCTTTCCAATAGCATATTGATGATTCAGTGTCTGCAATATACTGACCCCAAAACACTTTGAGGCCTTTGTAATTCATAACTAAGAGATTTGATTGAACATTGCAAACAAATCAGTCTCTATGAGCAAGGAATGCCAGAGACCCTCCAGTGATACATGTTAATCACATGTTAACATGTTAATCACATGTTAATCCCTGCCAGTCAGGGAGCATTACAAGGTCTGCAGAGTGCATGTGATCGCATGATCCATAAAGCAGTTCCACTGAACAGAATCACAGAAGATAATTTAGGACTCTTGGAAAAAGGTTTGCTGCATTTACTACAATTTCTCCTCTCATTTGAAGGTTCTAAAGTCGAACAATCTGTGGCGTCTTATCTTTGGGAGACAGCATGGTAAAGTAGAGAAAACATGGCCAATGAGTCTCATGAGACCTGATTCAAATTCCAGTCTACCGACTGACAGATTATCTGAGTTTATGAAAGTGAATTACAACACCAGGCTTCAGTTTCCTTATCTCTAAAATGGGAATATTAAGTTGTTCCTTCCTCTGTCTATGGCTGATGAGGTATTAATTACCCACTCTGAGCACAAAATACAAATATCTGAACTGAATTCACCTACCCACTCTGATGGTGGTCTTCTAAGGCTTATGAAATTATTAAAGAGGCCTTTTCACAAGGTGGCCAAGTACTGGTATGTAAGGCCTAGAAGGGCAGACAGACACCAACACCATTCAGAGTGTAAGAGGATGTGTGCTGGCACAGAGAAAATAAGCAATCCCTCAGATGATACAGAGGCTCCCATCAGGGCTCTGAGTCATTGGTTGTGGGCTGCTCTCATGTATAACCTCCTTGGCCAGGTGGTTAACAGCAACAACTAAAAGCAATCTTCAGGAGAGGGGAGCATTTGAATAAGTAACATGTAACTAACATTCATGGCCACTAGAGATGGGTAGATGTACTGACCCAGTAGAGGAAAACTAGGCTGAACTTTGACCACACTGACAGATCATGCCTGACTGAGAAGTATCAAAATATGATGAGAAAATGTACCCCTCATGACCGCAAAGCAGTCTAGCTCTGGTTCTGGTGCCTCCAATTCTTAGATGAGAATTGAAACTGACTACCCAAGAACTGTTAAGCAGGACACAGTTTAGTCCATACCTACTGCATTCTAAAGCAAGCATCTGCTCTTCCCTGCCCATGGACTTTCCTTTGGTTCACACACAATGAGTAGGCTAGAATGGCTAGAGACTCAGTGCCTTTGGGAACAATTTAAGTGCTCACATGTGGGATCTGGAGGGCAAACACCCAATCTCCTTACCACTCAGTAGTCATAACTCCTGAATGTTCTTTGCCATCTCCCAGAGCTTGCCAACATAGCTGAGCCCCAATTACCCACATGGAAACTGACTAAAAAGTGTACAATTTGGGGGCTGTCTTCCCTTTTACAACTCACCTTTGGGTGACCTTCTGATCACCTCTCCAAAAAGCTATCACTCTTTAATCCTGAACACAAGAGTTGTCAGTGGGAAACTGAAGGCCATATTTTACCACTAAGATTCAATACCTACACTCCTAGTGTAATTCTTACAAAATTTGTAAGACCTAACTCCTACAAAATTTGTATCATGTTAACAAGATGCCTGAAAATTCTTTGCTACATTATTTGATGAACTACATATACCATTTCTTTACAGAGACAGAAAATAGAGCTGTGTCTACATTGTACACATGCACGCACACATATACATCATTTTGAATATTATATAAGTGGAATAAATCTTTTTAAGTACATGGCTATCTGAGGTTACCCTAGGAGCCTCAGATAAATAGTTGTGTGCCCTAGTCTCGACTTCTGGTGCTTCCCCCACCACCAAGTTTCTTCCACTGAGGAGTGAAACCTTCTAAGCAATCTTTCTTCTCTTCCTCCTTCTCTTCCTCTGCTTCCTTCTCTGTTTCCTTTTGATCATTACAACATATTAAATCATATTGCATTCCCATTCTCGCTACTCTAGCAAATCTGAATTGTAAGTAAAATAAGTTCTGTAAGATGAAATAGACTTATTATTTCCTGTACTGCTCTATGAGCTGAGAGAGTGACAAATGGGGCACCAAAACACCAGGGCAGTTGGCATTAATTAATACTAAATTTACTGAATTAAACAATGAATTTTAAAGAAATAATTCTAAGATGTCATTTCAATTAAGGCACTGTCACTGGGGTAATGGATATGGGTAGCGTCCAGGAAAGTCGATCATGGCACTGTTACAGGAAGCAACCATTAACTCCAAAAAGCAAGTGAATAAAAAAGAAAGAAAAGAAATCCATGCTTCCCAAGCCATCTGAAAGAAATTACAGAGTTGCTAAGCTCTTAAACCTCTCTACATTCTCAATCAAAGAAGATGTATTTCAATTAAGCTCAATAATCTAGAACAGGTCACCTCAGCAGTTCCCCCATTTTAATAAGGAAAAGCAGAACTTTTACTCCCCTGGATTTGAGTGAAAAGCAGAGAAAATAATGTATGGTTATTTGAAGAGTAGAAAAGTTCTATATGGCACAAGCCTTGTCTTTTCTCCCCAAAATAATTTCCTTTGTAGACTCAGAGAAATGAACCACAACAGCTTCATAATGTTTGGAAAATAGGAATAAGAAGGGAAAGGAATCATAGCCACAGAATGTAGAGCTAAAAGAAACTTTTTAATGTTCAGCTAATTCAACTACAATATTGTCCAAAAAAGAAAGAGGATCCACAAATTAGAATCATCCCTCCCTAGGTAATCATCTTCTCTGACTCTGTATAAGCCATGTTGAAAAGATAGGAGGGACATTACAGTTGAATGGTGTTTGCCAATCCTCAGCTGCCATCCACTGTAATTTTACCTAGATGACAGACAGAGATAGATAGATAGATAGATAGATAGATAGATAGATAGATAGATAGATAGATAGATAGATAGACAGATAGAGATTGATTTGCTTCTGAAACTTAGAATTTGTCTTAAAATGAACAGCTCTTCTAGCCTGAGACACCCGTGGGGATTTCTGTTCGCTTCTGCAATCAGAAAAAAAGGACAATTTTATTTTTAATTATGAATATTCATGTGTTCAACAGAGACTGTGTATGTCATTATAATTCCCAAATTAGTTCAGAAGGAAACTGACATTTTATTCAAATTCCTTTATTCTTCACTAAAACAGAATAGGGTGACATTTTGCTCGGAAAGGAAATGAAAATTTTTCCTTGTCTCTGTCACCTGATAATTTTCCAATCCAAATAAAATCTCATTTGTAGTACTTCTACTGTTACTAGAAGAATCCAAATGATAAAGAGGATGAAGATACTCCAAATTCTATAAAGGAGGATCTGACCTAGATAAGATTAAAGCAAACTGAAGGTGACCATGTAAGTCATATATACAACTCATTTCATCCTCACCAGCAACCTATTATTATCCCTCACTCTACAGATTAAAAAAAAAGAAAAAAAAACTGAGTATAAGAAAAGTTAAAAGGTTTGCCTAAGGTCACTTAAACAGTAGAATGTGGCTATAAAAAAGTAGAATAAGAATGTAAATGTTGCTCTTTGGACTACAAATACTTCTCTCTTTTCAGTCCACTATAGCTGTTTATAAATCCAACAAGCCCCCCAAATTCTGTGCTGTGGGTAGAAGCTTCTCACCAGCCCAACTTCCTGGTGAGTCTCCGATGGGCCAGCTAACATGCCAACCAGTTACTCCTGTTTCACAAATGAATAAAAGGATGCATAAGGAAATTAAATAATTTAAAGAATGTTATCCAGAGGTGCCTAAAGTTACATAGGCTTTTGTCTTTGCATACTGTCATATGAAAAAAAAAAAAAATTAAGTTTAAGCAGAGAAACAAAAAGTGGAAGAAATTATGTGTGTGACAAATTATCAACCATACCCAGTGGAATCTAAATTCCTTACACAAACAAAGGAGCTTGACTAGTTGTCTAGGTTGTGTACCAATTACAAATTTAATAGTTTAAAACTCACTTATTGCCCTACAACTTCAGCAGAGCAGATGTCTAAGAGCAGCTCAGCCAAGTCCTCTACTCAGGCTTTAATCAAGGTGTTGGCCTGTCTAGATCTTATCTGACATTCAGGATCTTCTTCCAAATTCACATGATTGTTGGCAGAATTTATGTCTTTGAGCCTGTATCACCTAAGGCCTGCAGGAGACTCTCTCTAATTTCAGAGAGGGTCTTAGTCCTCTTTGAAAGGGTTCAGCAGAGGTTCAGGCCTACCCAGATAATCTCCTGTTTAAATCAAAGTTAAACTAATTCATGATCTTAATTACTCTTAAAATCTCTTCACCTTTGCCATATAATGTAACATAACCATAATATTCATGGTCCTACTCACAATTAAGGGGGAGGGAATTTACATAGTATATATACTAAAAGATGGGAATTTGGGGGGCCATCTTAGAACTCTGCCTACTACAGAAGCAATACCACTTTCCAACTTGCAGTTCTCAGGTTTGTGTTTGCTAATTACACTGGTAATCCATACATCAATATGACAATATCCTTGGATTTTTTTTTTTTATCTTTTAAATGGATTCCAGATCATTACTCAATTAGGTCAGCCAAGATGAGTTCCTACTGTCGTGCTTGGCACAGAAGAGAGAAGTCTAGAAAGACCAAAGCATATGAACGTCTCAATCCTCTCTCAGAGGACATTTGTGGGACATTTAGGGACAGCTGGAAATTACTATTATAAAAATTAATAAGTAAAAATCTTATTTATAAAAATGGTAGGTCCTTCCACATTCATACATTTAATACCAATGAAGAAAATAGGGACCAAATAGGGGCTCTTCTTAGGTCTGTAATGCAAAAATGCAAGGATAATGTAAGCTTTGTAATCTCTGTCTGGGATAAAGTATTAAAAATTTCTTAAAAAATAACAAACCAAAGGGACTTGAAAGAAGTACCAAAACCCTAGAGCCATGCCCCCTGTGTCACCTGAGTAGCTCTCATTCTCTCTCTGGGCCACGGTGCTGTTTCCAATACAGTAAGATCTAGCCAAGTTGAAACGATGTCTATGGGTTTTCCTCAAAATATGCTGTGGTTTTGTCAGCCTGAAAGGGTCTCCGCATCAGAGGGAGTCAAGAGAGTAGCAGATCTCACTTCTCGGATACCATTGCCACTTTTTAGCATACAAATAATCAAGGGAAGGTGTTCTATTCAGGGAAAGCACCTCTTCTTTTCAGTCAGGAATCAACTACACAGCAAGATCCTGGCACATGGACAGACAGGGACTTCTGGCCTACCCTTTTCACCCTCCGTTCCCCCAGGAAGGCAGGTTTCTAGCGCATTATTTATGAAAGACTAGAGAGTGTCTGCCTGCTAAGTGAGCTTACAGAGAATTCAGGTCTGGTAATCAAAATTAATAACGGTATTCAATCTAATTTTCCAAGCCAGAGGAGTGGAAGGCTGAGCTATAATCAATCTTTAGAGGTCAATTCACCAGGGATTTACCAGGTAAAGGGTTTAGCGCCCCCTTGTGCGGAAAATTGCCACATTGGTGAGCCCTATGTCCACACAAACACTTTCAGCAAGATGCCCTGTGGTTTTCTCAAACAAATGAGAATATACCTACCCTCTCACCTGACCCTAGGAAACCAACCAATTGATTCATATCAATTTTTTCGTTTAGAAAATATGAAATGTTTATTCAGCTTCTAAGTAAGATATGATTTCCTTGCACATAGAACAAAAGTCAAAAGGGTTTACCTTTAGTGTCCTTCCCCCTCCTGAGTCTAGACAAGCAGATCCCTTCCCCAGAATCAAACATGGTCACCAAATTCCTGTGAATCTTACCAGAGATTGTATGTGTGTGTGTGCATATTATGTGAATATACATAAACATTTACAAATGTGTCTGTATTCCTCCACAGATGATAAAATACTATATACTCTGTACTGCTTTCTTCTATATCTTACTCTTATATGTAATATATGCTGGAGATCATTCCATATCTGTATATTTCAAATTATCTCATTGTTTTAGTGACTGCATAATATTCCACTGTATGAATGCATCATAATTTATTTGAACAGGATTTTGATAATTTTATGTATATGTAGAAATATTTGTATTTATTTTTCCAATCTTTTGCCATTTAAAATAAGCTTTTTCTTTAAACAAATTATTTCTATTTCTGTAACTAATAATCTTTTATTGGTTTCTAGTTTGTGAATTTATCTTTTGGATAAATGCCTAGGAGTGAAATTGTGCCAGATGTTCTAATTGCTTTACATGTATTCATTCAACAGATATTTATTGAGAATATAATATGTAATAGTCTTTAACCTAGGTGCCAACAATAATAAATACAGCACTAAATATAAACAAAATCACTTCATGATGTTTTAACATTGTAGTGATAATAATTCATTTAATCTCAATACCTTTTTTTGTATAAAGACTATTATTTTCCCCATTTATCGATGGAGAGGCACAAAATGATCGAGTAATCTGCCCAACATGATACAGCTAGAAAGTAGTAAAGCTGGGATTAAAATCAAGTAATATTGTTCCAGAGTTCAGAGTTCATGCACCTTACCACATGCTATACATTTATATTTTTACATTCCCTTTTAAATTTTCAACTCACACAATTCCATCCAAATTTACAAGAAGTCCCTATTATATTTAAGGGTTGCACCACAAAAGAACTTACCTTACCTCCAAGCAACCTATCCATGAGATCACCTTCTAAAGGTTTGTCATAGGTGAGGTGACACAGGTATCCTAGAAGTAGGCCTGAGTCTAAGGTTCTTATACAGGCAATTTACTGAACAGGGAAGAGGAGTGAGGGTAACATGATATGGTAGTGTAATAAGTTACATAAAGATGTGATCTCGGCTGAACCCCAAGTTCAGTCTGTGCTCCAGGGAAGCTCAGGAGCATAAATGATATCACAGAGTTTTTCTACCTGATAGGAAGAGGATGACCATTTGCATCTCCATATGAGTCAGGCAATGGCTTTGGTACCAGACAGTGGGCACAACTTCCAGGCAATTCTATGTGAAGGGAATTTCCAGCCAGATGGAGAATCCCTGTGAAGAAAGGGTATCTGTTAGACTAGTCCCAATGACCTAGTTATCCCAGGAAGAAAACTTGTAAAGGAAGAAGGCTTCAGATAATCAATCTCAATCATCAGTGTGCAAAAACATGAGTTTCCTCAGCTGAATCCACCAGCATATAGTACCATGACAGACAATAATAAAGCTGCTGTTTTGACTTGATTATTATTCAGCTCTTGAGAGCCAAAACTCTACCTGCATTATAGACAGACTCCTATATTATTATGTTTCTCTGTTGTTCTGTTATCCATACTAGACAGTCCAGGATAAAGACCATACACTGTTCATCTCTGAATTTCATAATGTAGCATACTCAAATGCACATTGTTTCAAGAAATGTTTGATAAATAAATCAACAGATGGAATAAGAGTAGAAGATAGGGCCCCCCCTGGTGGCGCAGGTGGTTGAGTGCAGCGCTGTGAAGCTGTCCGCAGTCCTTCTGCAGCGCTGATTCTATCCCGGCCGGCTGGGAGGGTCCCACATGTTGTGTTTCCCACTCTGTCTCTGGTGAATCCTCTCACCCTCCTGCGTATCTGGCCTATACCCCAGTTCTTGTATAAATAAATAAATCTTTTCAAAAAAATTTTAAAAAAAGAGTAGAAGATAATAACTCTCTTGCACCTGGGCCCACCCCCCAATGAATCCACCATCATTGCTTCCATAAAAGTCTAGATTTACAAGCATTTGTAGGGAGACTATAGTGTGATATTTGAGCTCTGAAGCAAGAGCTTTGGAGTCAAAAAAATCCAGGTTCAGATAACAGTTAAGTCACTTTTGAGCTATGTAACCTCTGGCAATTGACATACATGCTAAGAGTTTCATTTGTTCATGCAAAAACTTTGAATAATACAACTTGATAGTGTGATCAAGAGTGCATGATGTGACTTTTTAATCCTTACAGCAAATGGCCCATTCCATGTTTTTTTATTAATGTGTACAAGTAACTTGACAACACATGTAAAATGCTTCTGCCCATCATTTGTAAAAGTCTAATAAAAGGACCAATGCATTTATATGTATGTATATAAACACTTATATATATGAATATAAACACCAATGCACTTATATAGATGTATACATATCTACATGCATATATATGCACATATACAAATATTTGTCCAAAACATGTATGTATAGATGTATACATCTATACATATTGATGTACACACACCTCATTTCCTTCATGCTATGCCTTTCTATTTTAAGGTTGTAGAATAAGTTTGTATTAAACTAAAAAAATGACAGTACACATGAAAAATGGTGGCAGCCAGGTTTCGTTTTGAGTAGTTACCACAGGTCCAGAACTGACATTAGCACCAGTGAATTGTGTCCATATCTGTAATCAACACCTAATTTCAGATTCTAAACCAAACTTTGCTAAGAAATGAGTTTCTCCAGAAAGTAATAAAGTCTTACTACAGCAGTCTCAGGGAAATGTTGGAATACTGTGTTTCAACTTTGGCAAGTTTTGTCACTTGTTTCTCCTCTGTAATGATATTGGGTGTTTTTAGCCATTTCTTCCAA